CCGGATTCCACCGGTTTTTGTCGGGACCCCCCCCTGCCCTTGAGGGGGGAGGGGGGGCGGGGTTCCGGACCCCCCCCCCCCTTGAAGGGATGGAGGGGGGGGGGGGGGGTTCTGGACCCCCCCCCCTTCAGTGTATTCAGGGAGATCCACTGGCGCACTTTCGTAATTATCCTTGCAGCGCCCGATCCAGGAGCGCCCTTCAGACAGAAGCCGACCCGGGAGGGGCGAAGGGAAAAGCCTGGGCTCCAAACGCGGTGCGATCGGTGACAGAACGACCTCGGAATCCACGAGGAAGACCTCGCCGCACGGCCCGCCGCCACACCGGCTTGGGACCCTCCGGCGGCCCCGGCCGCCCGAGACGTCCTGGGAGGACGACCCGAGCACCAAAGCCGCACGGCCGCCCCGAAGCCCCACTGACTCACCACGCGGCGCGGTCGCCGCACCGGTGGGGGCCCCCGAGAAGGGGAAGCCCATGAGGGCCCTCTGGAGACCTCAGGAGCGTCAAGCTCCCGGGCGGACACGAGACTTGCCGCGGCCAGCTCCTCCTGCCCTCGCGCCCGAAGAGGAGGGGCAGCATGATTTTGACATCCACTACCTCAGACCCCAACTAAATGGGGCAAATGGTTTCGCAGTCAGCTCTGGCCCCTTTCCTCTTGTGGTCAGGATGGAGCCCCTTGCTCAGCCGCGAAAAAACCTCGCTGCGGTCTGGAGGGTGGCCGACGCAAGTCTTGGACAAACGTCGCAGCTGGCCTCCAGTGCTGAAAGCGTGACAGGCGCGACACACACAGGCAAAACTGTGGTCATCGAAGTCAATCACAATGCAGCTGTGTCCGAGGGCTCGCAACTCGAAAGGATCGATTCGGAGCTGGCGGGTGCGCACTCCTGATGCGGGCTTCATCTGCTTGCGGGAACAACGCAAGCAGTTCGGACATTGCCAAAATCGGCCTACCCAGGCCCACTCGTGTGACGGGCTGGCTGGCTTGGAGACTCTCGGCGGGGCTTCCGCGCGAGGCACACCTTCGAGGTTGGTATTGGGCCAGCGCTCGAGCAATTTTGCAGCTAATTTGAAGACGGCCTTTGCCGTGCGGATCGCGTGGTTGAGATTCACACGATCGTCAGCATTCAAATCTTCATGCAACCGCGCACCTGCTTTTGCCGCCACGTCGGCAGCATTATTACCAATAATGCGTCGGCGCTCCAGTTCCGAAAGATCAGGGTCGTCCGCTCGGTGGGCCTTGACCTTCTGGACTGAGCGCAGCATGTGATTCGCATACGCATAGCTCTGCATAACCAACCCGCTGCAGGGCCGATTGGGCGACAGGCACTCGACAAAAAGCTTGCTGCATTCTCCAACGACGGCCGCACAATCGCTAAGAATGTCAGAAGCGCAGGTGAGGAGGCTGGCGGCACTCGTTGGCGCTGCGAACTCCGCAGCAACAGACGTCTGAGGAAAAAAAGTGCCCAGCGCGCCGTACGTGTGAGCGAGGATCTTACCCGAAGGACCAAGACTCACAACTCCCCACCCCGAGCGGGGAAGATCCTTGATCGGCGACCGCAAACAGGAGCCGTCCGTGTAGAGGTCCCCTCCCAAAGCCCTCACCCCCTCGGAAGGAACTGGTAACCCCTCAGCCTGGCACGCTTCAGGGAAGACCTGGAACGCGACGCTGTCCAGGGCTTGTTCCTGGGACAGGGGGCCTGGAGCCCAAAGGGGCGGGCGCGGGAAAAGGCCCGTCTCGCAGACCAACTTGGAGCTCGGACTGGGATCGGCCGAGAGCTCCGCACGAATCTTGGCGAGAAGACGCTCACCAACAATCTCCACTCGATCTTCCTCGCATTCAGGACAGAACCAAAGCCTATGCAGAATCGTGTCTCCTACCTGGCCGCACAGATAGCACTCGTCATCTACACAATAGCCGAGGGCGGCTGCACGGCTGAGCGGCCACACAGCCTGACAGATCAAGGCTCTGATGACACCTTTTTTCCTTACGGGGGAACTTGGAGGACGCCAGGGCCGCATCGGCCAAATCGAAACAGAGGCGGGTCCCGTCGAGGTACCTGTTTCCAGCCTCGATATCTAAATCCCGTAAAACCGCGCTCTTTAAAAATCTCTTCAAAAGGGCAGGGGAGGTGAGCAGGAGGGGAATCTGCACATCTCTGTCGTCCGTCATCGTGAAAGGGTCAGTCATGTCCCAGCCGAGTCGTTTCAGGGAGAGGTACATGGCCCCGACAGGGCCCTTGCATGATCTCCAGGTTCGCGGGGGTCGGGCCCAAACAGCGGACCAGGCTTCACGTATTTCGTGCCAGCTGAGCGACCAGGGAGCCCTCGTCTGCAGCAGCCACAACTCCTTACAATACCGAATGATGGGTGCAAGAGATCCGTACCAGGCTGGGTCTTTTTTCGAGACGGGTGAGGATCGTGAGCGAGCGCCCCCCGCAGTTCGGCTTCATGGTGGAAGCAGCCAACTTACGGATCTTGTGCACTTCGCCCTCGGACATGCCGTGGACCTCGGCCCCGTACTGGGCGCCTGCCAGCGGCCCAGAGACCAAAACCTTAGTAGCACGAGAGCCCAGCGTTCCACGCTGGTGGACTAAGCGGCGGGTCCTACGCACCGCAGCATTCATCGTGGTCTTCGCCTTAGCATTTCGCCCCCTAACCCTCCTTGAAGCCCCTGGAGTGAAATCGGTGCCAAGGTTAACCGTGGTTTCCCTGTGGGGCCCAACGAGATCTCCAAAGACTTGGGAGAGCCTACCAGAAATGTACTTGGAAGACGAGACCATGGCTGTCTTGTCCAATGAAATCTGGGCACGCATCATAACAGTGATGGCGTGCTGCAGGGTGGTAGCTCCGTCCTGCAGGCTGGTGACTATCTGTTCGGCCGTGCCGACAGCGTTAAGGCCAGAATCGCCGATGTAGACATCAAGGGTAGTGTTCGGACCCAGGACCACGGAGCCGAAAGACTCAAGCCCAAAAACCCTGATCATCGTCGTAGCGATCGGGCAGCCCGCTATCGCACCGTGATCTCCAAACACTGGGGGAGCCACGACCCCGCACAAAACCATAAAACGAGCCGATCGGTATCCAGCCAGACAGACCGCCATCAGTACAGGAGGAAAATTAAGCCTCTGGCCGCGCGACTCCAGCAGGGCCAAAGGAATCTGCTCGTAGTATTTCAGCATATCGTAAAACATAGCACCTGCATGCTGACCTGAAGACGTGCTGCGCTCTGCCGAGACCGACTGGCGCCAAACCACGTCCGATGCCGACCTATGCTTCCCCGCGGCCCAGTAGGGCCTGTCGTTGGCTTCCTCCCAGGCCACAGCATAGGGCCTCCGAGTGCGGCCCCAAATGCGAAAGGGGCTCGAAAAAAACCCGATGGGGCGGAACCCAGGGACCGACTTCGGGATCATGGCCATGATCAAGGCCCGAAGTTGTCGGGGAAGCATGCCTGCCGACTCGATGATCACGAACATCCTCCCTAGGCACTCCAGGGACGCGTCGGAGAGAAACTGATAGTGCCGAAGGTGAAAGCCGTCCAAGCCGACAGCCGAGCGCCTCGAGTAGGACCGCGAGGCTGTGCGAAACTCGTCCACTGTGATCTGCGGCAGTGGCTCGAGCTTGCAACACCGAAATCGAGGGGGGGCATCAACTGCCCGCCACAGCTTGCCAAATCTGCCACTCTCTTGCTTCAAGAGGGCCTGAGGGTCGCTAGCCAGGGCCCCAAACCGACTCAGGGTGGAAGTGGGCCTCCAGGCCGCGGGGTCCTTGGAAACCTGGTGGGCCCGACGGGCTCCCTGGTTGATCCCGTCCAGGAGCCAGGAGGCCCAATCGGACCTGGCAATTTTGGAAAATTCCTCGGAACATTTTTTGTTGGCCTCTTGAAGCTGTGTATGAACCGCGTCCAGGCAGGCCTTACACTCGTCGGGGCCCGCGCCCCACAAGCAGGCCACAGAGGAGGCGGCGGTGTACGCAGCGGCGTAGCTTCCTTGGTGTTCCGCCACAAAAGCAGGGGGCGAAGCCAGGGCAGCCTGCACCTTGGCGAAATCCGAGGGATGCTTGTCGGGGCCCGACAGCACCAAACGATAAAATATTAAGAAGTTGGACCAAAGCCATCTCATGCTGTGGAGCACAGGGTAAAGGACCGAGCCGTGGTCGCGACCCAGGACGGGCCTCCACCACATCTCAACTCCTTTGCCCCGTGCCCCGAAGTATGGGATGGTCGTGCCCATCACATTACACAATTCTCGCTCGGCCGTGTTGGCCCATTGCTTGTAGGCAGCAGCGAGAAGAGAGTCCAACACGTCAACATCCCCCCTCTGGGCCCTAACCAGGGCCTTGTCCAAAAGGACCGAGCATTTACCGTAACACGGGGGCTCGGGCGAAGGACCGATCGGGGCATCCACAGCGATCGGGGGGGGCTTGCGAAACGAGAGGACGTGAAGATTGGCAATTCCGACGTGGAATTGGATCCGAACGGGCAGGTGGGGGTGGAACGAGCTCCCATCAAAATTCTTAGAGACTGAGCTGACGGCCTTCGCGAGGCCGCCCGACAGAACGAAGAAGTCGTAGCACTTGGGATCGCCAGTGCCATAACACGTGGGCCCGTCCGCCGCCACCAACTGGCCCCTGAGATTGTGAACGAACTCGCTTTCGTGGAGCGTGGGCGGCTACTACTACTAGTACTAATACTAATAATAATACTAATAATACTATTAATACTAATAATAACAATAATAAGGAAATCATACTAGAAAGAGTAATACTACGAATTATAATACGACTAATCATGACAACAATAATGGAACGAATGAAAATATTAACAGTAATAGTACTAATGATAACACATACGAAAAATAATATAACATGCGAATAATAATAAGAAGAGGAGGAGGAGGGGTAGGAGGGAGAGGAGGGAGAGGAGGAGGAAAGCGAAAAGAAGAAGAGGAGCAGGAGGTGTATATCCAATGGAGGTGAGGAGAAGAAGTGGTAACCCCCCTCCACCTCATCGTCGTCGGATCTCCTTTGTCAGCGGCACGGCCGCGAAGTGACAGCTCAGGGCGTTCTGCTCCGGGTCTGGCACGCCAAGGACCGCCTCCCCCCCTGGAGCTCCGAGGAGGAGGGAGATGGCGGAAAAAGGGGAGGGAGGGAGGAGGGAGTCTCGGAGCCTCCTCCGCGCCCCCAGGGCCACCGCCGCTGCAAGATAGGCCACCGCAGACATGGTGAGAGGAGGGGGGATCAACAGATGCGCTGAGGAGGGGCGGAAAAGGGCATCTGTCGCCAACAGGGACGCGCTCAGCTCACATGGAGAAGGGAGGCTTTGTGTAGGTCCTCCGAGTCACGCAAGCATGCAGTTTCAGGCTCTGCCCCGCTCGGGCCGGCGATCCACGATCTCCCCATTCACCCGTCCTCCCCCTCTCCAGTCTAGACCACGAGTCACGCTCCCTGCCCCGCCCCCCCCCCCCTCCCTACCCCACCCCGTGCTCGTGGCAGTGGTCAACCCGTGGCCTTGTTCTCCACCGCCACCACCAGAAGCAGGGGGAGTGGTGTCCTCCTCCTCCTCCTCCTCCTCCTCTTCCTCCTCCTCCTCCTCCTCCTCCTCTCCTCCTCCTCCTCCTCTTCCTCTCCTCATCCTCTTCCTCCTTCCCCCCCTCCAACTTATGGTGGTGGTGGAAAAAAAAGGCCCATCAACACCTACTCTTCTCCCTCCCCCTCCTCCCCCCGCTCCCACGAGCGAGACCCACGTCGACCTGGACTTCCCCCCCCCCTCCCCCCAAAGCAGGCGCCCTCCTCACCTCCATACGTGGAGCCCGGACTTGCTGGCGAGTTGCGGAAGAGTTGGGCGCACAGTCCATGCTAAGAGGAGGAGACCTCGGCGCAGGACAACGAGACGCGAACTTCAGAACAAGGAAGAAGGCTTACCGTGGAGGCCAGTCCACGAGAAGCATTCTACAAGAAACCCGACCCTGGGACCCCAGGACGTTCATTATTTTTGTTGGTGGGAGCGTCACGCTTCCTATAAAAAAGCCATCGAAGCCCACGAAGCCCATATCACCCTGGAGGCAAGCAAAGTGTTTCTTGGCATGGGTATCCACGGTAACTCAGGACAAGAACAAAAACCGTACGAAATTCTTCGATCCGCGCCGGAACCCCCTCCCCGGCGAGCGGAGCGCGCCAGGGGCGGGGCCGGGGGGCTCCAGAGCAGAAAAGTTGACAGTCGGACCTGGGACAGAAGAACATCCTCCAAGAGCATGAGACCCTCCGCTGGCCAGAACACGCAGAACATCCAAGGGTACCCTCCCCAGGATGCGTAAGAACGTCCAGCAAGCAAGAAGAACTTCAGGGTACCCTCCCCGAACCGACCTCGACGGTGGACGTTTTCTTATTCGGCGGTTCGACATTGGGCGGGGGATGGGGTGTTCTGGCTCCGGACCTCTGCGCAGTGTGACTTTTTGCAGCAGTACGCTCTCTATGGGGGGGACTCCACCTGCTCGAAATAGGCGCAAAAAGTAACCATGAGATACTCCAGAGGGGTGGGTGGGAGGGGGGGTGCGAGGGCCCGCGCCGATCGGCAAAACAATGAATAAGAAGAAAACGATCACATGTTACGCCTCGGTGCGACTCTATGTTCTCTTCTTCAGCATGTTTTGTTCGGGCCGCCATGCGCGCGGGAATGCGTGCTCGTTGCCGGCGCGCTGTCCCTCCAACTGAAGCCGTCGACCACGGCCCGCCCCCCAGCATGGTGGACCTCGGCAGGGTGCTGATTACCAGCCTGGAACATATCCCTATCCCTATGCTGGGCATCTCCTCATCACGATGCCAATCTTAGGGATTCCCGTATTTTTTGAGGGCGCATCCCTGAGATTGTCGTCGCCTTTTGGCGTGTCAATCTTAGGGGTAGGGATACGTTCGAGGCTGGTAAGTCCCTCCAACAAAAGCCGTCGACCACGGCCCGCCCCCCAGCATGGCGGGCCCCAGCAGGATGCTGAGGCCGGCGCCCGAGTGTGCCCCCAGGCGCCTGGGCCCGCCCGCACGCCGAGAGTTCCCCCCTGGGGCGTGGGGGGCGTCCCCTGTGCTAACCAGCCTCGAACATATCCCTATCCCTAAGATGGGCGAGCAAAAAACGAGGACAATCTGAGGCATAGGCCCTCAGAAACTGAGGGAATCCTTAAGATCGGCATCGAGGTGAGGTGATGTCAAACATAGGGATAGGGATATGTTTCAAACTGGTAATGTGCCGGGGAGCCCGGAGGTGGTCAACCAGCGGGAGCGGCCAAGAGGGGGTGTCCAAGAGGGGGGGGGGGTGCAAATCATGACCGGCGGCATGTGCGCGGCCCAGCGGGGAGGGCAGGGACGTACTGAAACGAGAAGAGGCGCCATGAAGTCTGGAGACATATCATGGCCCCCGCCATTATATCTCCCCCCCCTAGTCAGCACCCCCCTCTTTCCGCCCCCGAAACCAGCATGATCGACCGCGAGCCCGGAAAGGAATACGGAAGTGTGAGGCACGGTAGCCTTTTCACGACACCTGGATGGGCGACGGGCACCTGCGATGCTGACCGTACCGATCTTGATGTACCGTGCCAAGGGCTGTGCTGTGCTGCGCGGTGCTGACTTGCGATGTGCCATGCCGCGTTTGTGCTCTAGAGCGTTATGGATCGAGTCTTCCTTTGCATCCGAGTCTAGACCAGACTGATCTGGATCTTAAGCACGGGCTGCCTGAGCACATAGCAGCTGCCCCAAAGCTAGTTCAAGTGGAAACGTGTGGGACGTTCAATCAACTCGAGCTCAAATCCGACTGAGTTCCGAAAAGGAACGACTCGACACGGGGCACAGCCTCACGGACGCGCCACAGGATGTTCCAGGGGCGCAATAGGGGATGCGCCAGGGGGCGTGTCAGGGGACATGTCAGGGGATGTGCCCTGGACGTCTCAGGGACCTGCCACGGGACGTGCCGAGGCGCGTGCTATGGAGCGGCCAGAGGACGTCATACCAAGGGACGTTGCAAGGGGCGCGCCACGGAACGGGCAAGGGAACCGGCTGGGGACGAGCCAGGAAACGCGACAGAGAACGAGCCAGGGAACATGCCACGCCGAGTGGCGTGCTGGGGGACGTGCCAGGGCACGTCACGCCAGAACGTCGCAAGGGACGCGCCAGGGGACGCGCCAACACGCCAGGGGACGCCCCATGGACGGGCAAGCGTTTCGCTCGAGACATCCTCAACAAATCCTCAGGTTAGACATCAGCATGGACGATCTGAACACGAGAGAACAAGCGTCTCGCTCGAGACATCCTCAAAACATCCTCATGTTAGACATCCGCATGGGCGACCGGTTCGGGCGACCTGGGCACGTGAAAGCAAGCGTCTCACTCAACACATCCTCAACACATCCTCATGCCAGACATCCCCCTGAGCGACCTGGACACGTGAAAGCAAGCCGCTCGCTCGAGGCATCCTCAACACATCTTCATGTTAGACATCCGCCTGGGCGACCTGGGCACGTGAAAACAAGCGTTTCGCTGGAGATCTTCTCAACACATCCTGAACTGGACATCCCATCCGCCCGGACCACCTGGACACGTGAAAACACGCGCTTCTCTCGAGACAGCCTCAACACATCCTCATGTCAGACATCCGCCTGGGCGACCTGGATACGTGAAAACACGCGTTTCGCTCAACACATCCTCATGCTAAACATCCACCTGGGCAACCTGGACACGCGAAAACTAGCGTCTATCTCTCGAGACATCCTCAACACATCCTCATGCTAGACATCTGCCTGAACGACCTGGACGCGTGAAAACAAGCGTCTCGCTCGAGATACCCTCAACAATTCCCGATTCCAGACATCTGCCTGGGCAACCTGGAGGCGTGAAACCAAGCGACTCGCTCGAGACATCCTGAAGACCTGGCTACGTGAAAACAAGCATTCCACCTGAGACATCCTCTGAATATTGGCCCCCAGGAGAGGAACGATCTTTAGCACAAACACGCGTTTCGCTCGAGACATCCTCAACAAAACATGCAACACAAGCGTTTCGCTCGAGACATCCGCAACAAACGAAAATGCTTACATCACAATGCATTTTATCATTATCAATCGCAATTTCAAAAACCAGCCTTTCGCTCAGGGCATCCTCAACTTTTCATCCGCCGGCCCTCTTCGACTTCGTTATCCATCAAGGAAGGAATCCGCCGGCCCTCTTCGAATTTGGCACCGGGGAACATGATCGACCCACGAACCCGGAAAGGAATATAGAAACGTAACGCATGGCAGCGTTTTCAAAGACACCTGATTGGGTGACGGGCAAATGCAATGCTGATAATATCGATCTTGATGTACCGTGCCGAGGGCTGTGCTGTGCAGCGCCGTGCTGAACTGCGATGTTCCATGCCGCGGTTGTGCTCTATAGCGTCGTGGATCGAGTCTTCCTTTGCATCCGAGTCCTGACCGAACTGATCTGGATCTTAAGCTCGAGCTGCCTGAACACATAGTATCTGCCGCAGAGCTAATTGACAGGGGGACATGCCAGGAGGACGCGCCGCGGAACGTCTCAAGGGACGCGCCAGGCGACATGCCAGGGGACGTGCCATGGGGACGCACCGCGGGACGTGCCAAGGGGACGCGCTACGGAACGTGCTGGGGACAAGCGTTTCGCTCGAGACATCCTGTCAAAATCCTCATTCTAGACATCCGCCTGAGCGACCTGGACACGCGAAAACAAACGTTTCGCTCAACACATCCTCAACACTTTCTCATGCTAGACATCCGCCTGGGCGAACTGGACACGTGAAAACAAGTAGTTCGCTCGAGACATCCTCAACACATCTTCATGTGAGACGTCCGCCTGGGTGACCTGGGCACGTGAAAACAAGCGTTCCGCTCGAGACATCCTCAACACCTCCTCATTCTAGACATCCGCCTTGGCGACCTGTACACGTGAAAGCAAACGTCTTGCTCGAGACATCCTCAACACATCTTCATGTTAGACATCCGCCTGGGCGACCTGGACACGTGAAACAAGCGTATCTCTCGAGACATCCTCAACACATCCTCATGCTAGGCATCCGCCTGGGCAACCTGGACACGTGCA